CTGGAAGTACCTTATAAATTACAAGCTGCTTAAAAGGATATTTTAGCATTTTTTTAATAATATGCCATTAAGTATAATTTTAATTTTCCTTTTTTGGATAGCTAAAAGCACTCTGTAAAATTCATTTCTTAAATGGTCTATATCAGTTTATTTTTCAATGTAAAAGAATTCTCATATTAATCAGAGAGGTTGTAAGAGACAAAAGTATAATAAAACTGCCTATTAACTTTAATAGATCCAAATGAAATATATGTTGAAATATATTACTCACTTGTGTCACCTGATCATTTGCATTTTCCTTCAATCCATTCACCGCATTCTTTGAATTTACGTTAATCATTTTCTTATTTTTTAATGTATCTAACCACCAGTTATTATCTTGCGCGAACGCACAAAGAACCATTATGGGGAAAAAGGCAAGTGTAAGAACAGCTTCCCATAGTTCTATGACTTGAGGGCTAATAAGCACTAAAGTCAGGAGCATCCAGATATACGCAAATATGGAGAAGGCACTTGTCATTATAAAAACACTAAATTCCTTAATCCTTTTGGGGTTTGGCGAAGGAACTGATACTATACAAATGCTTGATATTATCATAAGGTTGAAAGCAGCCGATCCAATTATTGTAAAAAGTCCTAGGCTGTCCTCGTGTACGCCTTCGTCAATGCTTTTGAGCTTTGAAATCGATTCTACTACCGATAGGAGAATTTCTGGAGCTGAAGATCCAAGAGCCATTAAGGTGAGGTTAGCCACAGTCTCATTCCAAACAAATATTTCACGCTCAACTGCCTTGCCGGTGAGATCATCATATACAGATATCTTCCTTTTCCTTGCTGTGATCCTTTCGATCGAAGACATGAAAACGTCGCTAGCCATTGCTATTCCGAGAAACACATATAGCATAGCCGCTATATAGAGAGTCATGCGAAACCATTTTGGCCACAAGTTTTCGGCAGGAATGAGAAGCCAACTTACACAATTTGGAGAACTATTACTCACTATGTGTGCTACCCATCCATGTGTGTAGTTACTGATGATTATTTCAGCCATCAAAAAATTCAAAGTTTAAACTGCGTTTTAAAAAATCTGTAACATAATTGGGCAGCAAGAGTGACTTAAGAGGAGTACTATAGAGTCTGGTAATGTAAAAACTAACGAGCATTTGTCATTATATTCGTGCCAGCTTATTTGAGGAATACACATTGTAGAACTAATTACACCAATCACTATCGTGAGTCAACTTACTGGTAGTTTCTCTTATACTATCTTTTTCATTTTTATATGTAATAGTTTTCA